AAAATTTGAAATAATTGCTATGGTGTAGGGGCCCGCATGATCGCGGGAGTCGGACGTGCGTACGGCCACTGCGCCGCGCACGTTCGATGTCACTTAGGGACCCGTCATACTTCACCGAAAAAAGCCCGAAAAAGCCCAAAAAGCCCAAAAAAGCCCGAAAAAGCCCAAAAAAGCCCAAAAAAGCCCAAAAGCGCCAGAAAGAGCCGGAACACTTCTCGCACGTTTTGGCGCTAAAGCATGTGTGTTGACTTCGCAATCGAGCCTTTTTGTCATTTTCTGTCGTCCGCATGATAAGATAATGTCAGAATTCTACCAAAAGTTCGTTTCTACATTCCGGCTCTTTCTGGCGCTTTCGGGCTTTTTTGGGCTTTTTCGGGCTTTTTTGGGCGCTTTTGGGCTTTTTTGGGCTTTTTCGGGCTTTTTCGGGCTTTTTTGGGCGCTTTTGGGCTTTTCGGGCTTTTTTGGGCTTTTTTGGGCGCTTTTGGGCTTTTTTCGGCGAAGTATGACGGGTCCCTTAGGTGCCAGACTTGTCCTGTTTAACCGGTTCGTCCGTTTCTTTCATTCGCTATTGGTCAAATCAATGCACTGACTACTCAGACAATCAAAGGCTATTGTGAGTCGGCGAAAAATAGCAGTTTCAGTGAGCGGGCGGCGATTCTGCGAAATTGGCAGTGAGCGGGTGACGATACTGCAAAAATTGACGGTGAGCGGACAGCGACAGGCATTAGCGGACAGCTATAATCTTCCATGAGTCAGAAGATAGCTGCAGAGCGCATTCATTGTTACAAAAGCAGCCAAAAGGCGGCGACGATGGCGACTCCGTTAGGCTGACTGCGGCCGGGAAACGATGGGGAATGCAGGAGCGAGCTTTCTATGAGCGGGCCGCATAAACTCCATGAGAAGACAGCCTTAATTCGTAACCTTGTATTGTGGCTACCAACTGGAAGCCATATTGTTGCCCTCTTGAAAACCTGTTAATCACTAGAAAAGTTAGATGTGCAAGCAAGCGAGATTAGCAGCTTAAACTTGCGTCACTTTTGGTTTCATTGTTGCCTCTTCTTCGCTTTTGATATATTGCAATGTTACATTACTTTCTCTTTCTTTACTTTTCTTTCTAGGCTGCATTGTTCTCTTTGTTTGTACTATCTCATTATTTCAAAGCATTTCTGTTAATGTTTTCCTTTCTTATCCAGCCTTAAACTTTGTCTCGCATCTTCATTGCATATACAATCGCTATAACTATCATGCATCTCTCTTATGCTAAAAAAAGAATAAGTAGAGGATAACATTGCACACAGCGAATGTATGGCACAATGAACTCGGTTACTTGTATTTTGACTTACAAAATTGTTGTCTGTCGAAAGCTCAATGGAAATCCATGAAAGTGTATTCAAACTGCTGGATTCAGCATCTGAACCTCAACAGTAACTTTGCACAGCTTTTATAGATACGAGAACGGGAAAGTAATAAACTTAACGAGTTCCTTGACTTTTGTAATGGTTCTAAGTGCTTAAACACACACTCCCCACTTTGAAGGAAGTCGATCACGAAAAACTATCAAGTACCAGTGTGATAAATCAGGTACCAGTGTAATAAATATAACCAACAGTGATCTTCTGGCTGACAAAAGTAGGTCTCATGAAGAGTTTGACTGTTCTAAATCAAGATTCGTACAGATATACAAGTTTATTAAGTTTGTTACATCGCATACACTGCGAGGACAAACAGTCACTATAGCTAATCATATAAAGTTAATCTGTTGCCTTTCATTGCTTTTTCACATGCTTTCTCAAAGTCCTTCATATGCGGTTTTCTCACATCGTACAGCCTAGATTGAGTTATGATTATGTACAATGCGTTTGATGAGGCCAGCGCCGCCTAGTGCAATCACACACCTGCGCGCGAGCGCTACCGTGTGCTGCAGCCGCGCGAAGCGGCATGGTCCTTGATTTAGCCACTCTTCCTGCTTCTTTCTAAGATTATTCGCTGTCCTGCTTCCAAATTTCTAAATTTTTCCTGCCTGAAACTCTACTTCGGTACTCCCTGAGATCTCTCAAAGTATCACCGCGCGAATGGAGGACAAAATGTAGGTTTGAGGTCTAGATGAAGATGTAATCAAGATCATTTCGTTTGAGAATTCTGAGAACTGCTGATGCTCTCCTTCCTTACATGTGGAAGAGGATATGTGAGGTATAATCGTATATCCTGCGTTTCATCCTGCGTTAAGCCTTTTTCTGCGGTTTTTGCGCTCTCTAGTGCGGATTTTCGGATTCAGTATAGCGAATAGGCCAGATTAAGGCTCCCGCCAGAGTGCCGAAGTTATGCCAGCGCTAAGCCAGCATTTCGATCGATACACGTGTATTTCGTTGGGGACGTCAGCTAGCCCCGCCCCAACGAAATACACGTGTGTCGATCGAAATGCTGGCTTAGCGCTGGCATAACTTCGGCACTCTGGCGGGAGCCTAAGCTCAAAATCTCAAAATCGAATTTTTGCCCGGACACTGCCTTCAACTCACGACAATAGGACCCACCGGTGGGTCGTAAGATTTCTGAAGCTCTAATTTTGCCAATATATGATGGAATTCTACGGGGTTCTGGCACATGATTGGGGACACCTTGGCGAAGCTCCTGCCAGGGCAGGGCCCGGCACGCGTTGGTTTGGAAGTTTTTAGGAAACGAAGTCCCCCATGACTTCGCAAAAATTTACGAAGTCCCTCTCGACGTGAAAATCAGTAGGGAAACCCTTATTCAACCAAAATAGCAACAAAAAAGCGAAAAAAGCGCATTTTGAGGTATGTAACATAACAAAAAAGCAAAAAGAAAACATTTCGAGTCGATTAAAGGCTCTGCCATTGGGTATAGTACCATTTTGATGCTGGGAGTGTCGAGAATCTCCTAGGCCAACCAAATCTGTAGCTTCAACAATCCTGCGATGCATTTTTCGACACATATTTCAAAGGACAGCGCAAGTGATTGGAGCGCGATATCTATCAACGCGTAGAATTATACTACTTTTGACTCAAAAAAGGGGAGAGGCAACGGTTTGATCCACTCTCTTCACTATATGATAGATTTTTGACCGTTCTAATCGTCCAAATCAAAAAAGTCCAAAACTTATGTGAACTCTCCGATATTTATGCTCTGAACCAACCCAGTTGGTTTGGTAGTTGGTCTAGAAACCAACAAATTCGAGAAGGATATTAGGACACATAAGTTTTGGGAACTTTTTACATAACATAGTTTGGAGTAATATTGTATACTCATAGCCCAAATTTGGGGCCGTGTGATCGTTTGTGCGCTGTAAACAAGCCATTTTTTATTTAAATCTTTGAAATTCGCGCGCTTGCGAAAGAACACGTTCAACTCGTGAAACCTGACATGTTCGTCTTGTTTTTTTGGCGCTTCCCCCTGAACCTCATAAAAACGATGTCTCCATTCTTCTAACTCCAAAAACGAAGTCCAGTTTGACCCCAAACCATCGGTGCCGAGCCCTGTGCCAGGGTGGCCCGGATTTGGGATACTGTAAAGTAATGTTACGGTAGGTATATCGTAGATAGAGGTAAGGCACAGACTTTAGCTCAAATTTTTTGCAAAGTGGTGCTGTTTTTGAAAATTTAAGTTTACATGCACGAGGAATACAGGGAGAGCACGAGACTGATGTCAGCTAATCAAAAATATCGACTTTATTGATTTTTACTGATTTTCCGCATCGTTCGTACCAGGAAGCTCAAACTTTACATATAGGAGTTTTTTAGCTGATTACGAAAATGATACTAAGTTGCAATACCGCCTTCTTACATCAGATTCTTGATTCTTACGAAAATCCTACCGTACTGCTACCGTAGTGGGAAAGTATTGAACAAAGTGGACACTATAATCGTGATATAATCGTGGTCGGCACGTGAAATAACCCCAAAACACAATTTTTCATGAGAATCCGTGATGTTGGGTTAAAAATGAATGAATACCGAACCTTACCGTATACTGCCAAAAACTGGAATAAATCATATTTTGTTAATCAGCGCCTTCGTTAACCCTTGTGGGGAAATTCTCGGAGACAGGAGTTTTGTTTCTTTCAGAAAGACTACCATTTCGAACGATACGACGCACGGGTGGGTCGTAAGTTTGACAAAGCAAAAAAGACTCCGGTTCGAAACGGCAGTAACGAAAAATCGGCCTTGTCGTGAATGTGTTAAGTGATCACGAGATACGTAACATGGCTCTTTACTTTCGAGAATTGGGGGGCACTCGTTACGTGCGGGCTGCCAAATGGAAAACGTCGCAACGCGGCGTTACAGTAACAGCCCGGGGGAAGCAGCAGTGTAGAAAATTTGTCAGATTTATATCACTTGCTTACCAATGCTTCTTCCATATTGTTAGCGTTTTACCTCCTTCATTTTGTGTCTTTTTTGTCCTTTAACAGCTCATTTTACAACTTTTGTGGCAGAACTTCAAATAATTAAGTAAAACTAATATAAGAATAGTCTGTGAACCTCAATAAAGGATGAGAAACTGAAAAACTATGTGCTGCGGATCATGCTGGCTGAATTCTCCGAGTGCGGTCACTGGCAGCCTGTCACGCGCGACGTTTTCCAACTGGCAGCCGCACGTAACGATACGCCCTCTCGAGAATTAAAGGCAGTAGGTCGACAGAATGAGACCCGTGGCAAAACAGGGTCACAGGGTATGTATGTCTGCATGTATATACGTATGTTCCGAATAGACATTTTTATTTCTGAACCGATCCGGACCAAACTTGGCACACATACACTTCGGGGAGGGGCGGGTGCCGTAAGCTACTTTTCGTCATCAATCATCGATTTTATTGATTTTTCAAAAGTTCGAGCTACGGGGCTGGGAGTTGGCACAGGGGGTAAGTGAGCATGCTGATTACGAATATATCATTGACAGAGTCGGGCGGAGCCGGGTTTGCCAACTATGTAGTAAGATAATAAAGCTTTTATCCGTGGAGAACGGTTATCCTCAGGCGGAAAAGTATTTCACATTTTGGACATTTCTGTTCCTCGCAGAACTCTCTTCACGATTTTTGCTACATCAAGAGCACAGCCCCAGAACAACGTTACCCCGCTGCCTCCATGGCCATAATTGTGAACGACTGGAACCTAAACAAACAATGGGCAGCCAGTTCAACAAATCTGAACTACACTAACTGATGTTTTTGAACTGACCTGCCTTTGTTCAAGCTCAAGGCGCACGTTTCTGCGACCTGGTCGAAGACCTACATGGTGTGATATAACTTCACATGTCTAAATTTGGGGAGCATTACTTGTGATGAAAAAAGCCAGCCAAACCTCCAGTGCAGGTACGTTGCGCTTATTGTACTCCATTATACGTTTTGCTGTTGTTCCGTCTACTGCTGTGTTCCACTCGTCTGCATCCGCTGTGCCACCAAGAATTATGCAGTCATCACTGAGACGAATATGATATTTGAGTTTGATAATTTCTGATTTTGTACTACATACTTGAGAAGAACGTAGGATTGATCGTCAATGAAGAAATGCTTCACTGCAGGACATCGCACTCGAATTATCTACAACAGCAAATTCTATTTCATGTTGGTTTCCCTTCAATGTACGTGTACTAAAGAAACATTCATTGTATGTCTAGCTTACAGGCATAGGCAATCTTGCAGATTAACTGCAGCGGTTTTCCATAGCATTTGACAGGAAGAAAAGAACAAAATGCTTTCTGGATCCATGCGCCTGTGCCGTAGAGAATGCACCCATGAGATGCGCGCCATAGACTATTTAGTAAAAATAAGTCTTCTGCTAGTGAAAACATACACATTTGTAAGTCCATATGGATTTCCAGCATCTTTTATTGTAGAAGCATATCTCTGCACTGCACAATTTCATAGCGTTGCAAGTGAGGTACGCGGAAAAAACCCTATCAAATTAAGCAAAAACAATTGTTCTGGAAACTGTGTTGCATTTCTCAAATTCCCAGCTACGACTTTCATTGTTCTCTCATCGCTCCGTTCTCTGACCTTCCAATTTTCTTTCGGAGAAAGTTGAAAGGTTGGGGGTGCTAAGGCTCGAAGGAGGAAACCACATTTGCTCTAACAAGAATACCCTCGAGGCAAACCCCAAAACCCGTTAAGCATCCCAACTCGCTGAAAGAGGATAATTCGCGGAAAAGCATGCAAATATTCTGAAAAATTGTTGAATCTGACTGTTTCCAACTGCTGATCTCTGTAGCGCACTTCATCATGCAAAATGTCCCGAAAAACGTTTCTGTTGTATGATCTAAAATATCTCCCTTGCCGCGATGCCATTCACCGATTTTTAGGTAATTTTCTGTGCTACAACTCTCCGTTTTTGCAGGATTACGGTTGGTAATTCTGGCGTTATGGCGTTCTTGCAAAATTGGCTGTAATTAAAGTAATTTTTAGTACATGTGAATCCTTTCATGGTGGGCTTCTAAGGCGCTAATTCTAGCAAATTTTTTTAATAGGTTTGTAATGTTGTTAAGGCTATGTGATTTGACTACTGAAGAATTTTGGTAGCACCGTTCTTAGATGCGATTGGCGTAATTTCAAATGAAGTTAATTCCAATCCACTGTAATCTGCAATGTTTATTTTTGAAATAAGCTTTCTGACTTATCTAGCGACAAAATTCTAGCTCTTAGGAGTCTTTTTTATGCAATAGTTGATTTTCAATGGTGCAAAATCTACAAATGTTCTATCTTAATCCTACAGTATGGAGTAGCGTTCGATGATTCTCTCTAAAACGTAAATTCAGTTTGACACCAGCTCTACACAAGGGTTCCAGAAGGTCGGTGAAAAGCTTCAGAGGAAAAGCGATAATTTTCGACTAAACAGCAAAGAAATTTCAGCGGAATATTCTTTATACTTTTGGTGATTGCTAGTGTCATTTAATTGCATGATGTTATGCAAATAGTGAGAAAGTAGTCTTCGCGTCAATATTGCGTCATTATTTTACGATTTACAAAAATGGGGGATGTACAGGCTAGTAAAAGATGTTTAGTCATGTTTGCCGACATTTGTTTGCATTGCGGACAAAATTCGTCCTTGATGAAAGTCTTTGAATGAAAAAGGCACTCATGAAAATACTCTGACGTTGATAATTTGTAACAAAGTCGGAAGTAAGATGAAGATGACAAATTGTTGCCGTGAGTGATATGCATTATGATCTAACATGAATGAGTTTGAAACTATTTACATACCTGACCTCTAATAGGATGCAGTAGGTGGTCGTCCACAAGTTTCTTAGCCGCTAATCCTGCACAGTTTACAATGCAAGCGTAGTCGCTTCCCAACTCTTCAAACCTTTCAATCCTCTTCTTCACAAAAACCCCTCCATTGCTGAGAAACCTAAGATATAAGTTGCTGACAGTCATTTCCAACTGTGACACAGAGTAAAACACAGGTTGTTCACTTTTTGTGCAGAAACTGTAGGTACTTTGTTGGTTGGAGGTATAGTGTAGTGTAGAATAGACCAGACCTCAATGATTCCAATTATTATGTCAATGTACATCGTCAACTGCTCACTTTTGCGGAAGTGGGTGTTTTTGCTCTACTTCTTCTGGACTGAGGACATGTACATTGTCCATGAGCGAAATCCAAGATGGAGTGTCCGGGTTTTGACTGAACCGATAGCCAGACATCTCCTGAACTTCGCTGTATTCTTACCGTTCAAGACAAAGTGAAATAAATACAGTCTGTGTCAACTACGTATCCCCTTTCGCGTAGGAACTACGCGAGGGCCCTGCGTGCGGACCTCCAATCGATGAGGCTAACTTGAACTTGAGCCATACGCGCGAGGTAAAGCGAAGCTCTGGCATGGCGATCGCGCTTACAGAAAAGGGAACACGTCATTGACACAGACTGTACGCGGTGTCGTGGCTCTTATTGATTTTTTGCAAAATTCTTTGAAGGACTGTTCTGACCAATTATGGAGAGTCGATAATTTTGTGTTATTTTTGAAATGCTCAGAATATGCTTATGGAATATAATAAAGTAAAATTTCTAAAAATTCTTTACAGCCTCAATCGTAATGGGTATCATTAGTAAAGACAGTGTGGTCGGCTCGAGATATCATGCTAAGATTGTGCCACGAATGGAATAAAGTGATAAAAAAACCTGAGCTCCACCATTTGGGTAATCCTTCATATATTTTCGAATGTGCTTTATTGTTTCACGGGTCCAGCGACTAAATAAAATCATGCTCATATTTGGAAAAGCAACTGTTTATTTTTGCTGACTTCACTGATTCTTCGTCAATACCGCTGAGATAAGGTTCAATGAGACCAGCAGCGATGTCCGATGTAAGATTCGGTGAAAAGTCTGATGTGACGATGGTTACCTGAGCATTCATCCATAGTACTCAATCTGTGAAGTTGAGTAGCAAAGTTTTCTCGAAAGTTCTCATACCTTCACATCTGGAACATTTTCCTGAATGGCAACGGCGGAAGAAAGTCCTATGATGCCCGCACCAATAACGCAGATATTACCTGTCATCCTGGAAAAGCAGATCAAAATCAAGTAAAATCAAGTTTTGTGGTTTTGAACATGAAAACAGCGCTAGCAGCGACTGTTATCTCTGGTCTGAAGTGCCCATATCTTATCTGAGGCAGTGCTCCGGAACCTATGTTCACAATTGAAAGATAAGCGAAAAACATGGTTTGAGTTTTGGGTAAATATGGAGAAGTAGCTTACAACTAGCAGTAAACTTCTCCTAGCAACTTTGATAACACTCTTTTCTGTTTTTATGTCTGTTAATTGTCACTAGTTTCTAGCGCTTGGCCAGCTTTGACTAAATTATGGCTCCAATAAAGGCAAAAGGATGTTCAGAGAAAGGAAGAAGGCATCCACAAATGCGAAATGTTTTCAAAGTAGGCAGACGGATCATCCTACTAACCTTCTCTGGGCACAGACTTTTGAAAACAGTAATTTAAGTCTAAACACCATAGTCTGAGCAAAGCTTTAGAACTGACCTTATGGTTAGCCAGGTTTTTAAATGAAATTATTGATTTTTGAACAACTTATACAAATCTTTGTTAGGAGAAACCTAAGGAGACCGATTGACTATCTCCCAAACCATCTCTCAAATCCTAGTTCCTTTGAAAAACTTGCGGATATATTTTATGCTTGCTCCTCTATATCTCAGCATATACCAGCAAAGTTGTGTGGAATTTCATCGTCGTCACTGCTCAGCGGTATAATGTGCCAACTTTGTGGAATTCTTCGTTCATTCTAAATGAGTCTAGGATGTAGTTGAAGTTTTAGATTCATTGATGTAGTAAGGTCTTGTCTCCTCCTACTGGAGTTTTTCAGTATCACTCGTATCAGCATGCCAGTCTTAAACAAATTGATAAAAGATTAATTATTTTGCTTCATTTTTTGAGCAAATCATCAATTTGCTAAAAAATCATTAGATTAGTAATATCGTGCGTACTGCTGGCAAATTACTACCTGGAGCAATCACAGTAAACTATAGCCACTTAGAACTACAGCCATAATAACATCAACAGCTATAAACTATTACCTTTTAAATGGTCTTGTGGAAAAGCCAAAGTATTGGTATATACAAGGTGTCCCAAAGAAAAATTCTCACTGTTTTACCGTTTATATCTCTCGTTTTAATGCCTTCCTCCGCTCTCAAGTTACCATATTGTAGATCTGGCTTCTCAGTTTCGCAGTATGAAGCGAACACCGATCGCTTTGTTACTGTCAAATTATGGTGAGAAGTTTGAAGAGCTTCGAACCATTGAAAGTCACTTTTGTCTTTGCATGAATGCCAAACAGCTGGTAACACTTATTTTGTCCTAATCAAAGTCAATGATTTTAAATATGAAATTTGCACGTTATATTTAGTAGTGCTTCTTTCACACAATTATACCATAACAACCGTTATCCCAATGTTCTGAAATATGATTACACCATTCAAGTAGCTTCAAAACTCATAAACAGCTGTGCAGTGAAATTAGCTCGCTTAGAAACTCTGTTGCATGACTTTCCGTCCCTTTCTGAATTTTTTTGAATGGGCTATTTTTCAACGACGCTTTATGCTGAAAGTTAAGTTACTATTGTATTCCCACAATAATAGACACGGATCGATATCTAGCCCCATACTCAAAATCTAAATTGCAGCCATCTCTATAGAATGGTACATCAAGAGCGGAGGAAGACACTGAAGCAAGAGCAGAACGATAAACAGTAGGGACATTTTCTTGGGCACATAAGGAGAAGTAAGCATGAAGTCTGCTATGGAGCTTGCACTCAGTTTATAGTTTAATAATACATGGAGGTAAACGGATGCGGATACATAGCAGGACAGTTGCGCTCGCGATGTTTCATAAATAGTTGAAAGCGACGTAAAAGCTTGTAGACTAGAATAACTCCTAAATTTTTCAATGCATAATTGAGATGTATGCCTTTCTGAATTATTTATTCGTAATTTATTGCAATAAAAACAAGGGCGCAGAAAATCAAGATAAAAAGACCACAGTTGTTAGATTAACCGTTATTAACGAGAAGCAGGTCCACGTCATTTTCAAAAAGTAAGCATAACAGCGCCCGGATGTAATCTTCTAGTCAGGTAGTCGGAAGACCTCAATACGAATCCATCCGTAAGGGCAAGCGGAAAGAGGAGGGGACTTTCAGATACAGAGCTTACAGGTCTTCAGCTCCCGAAAGACTGCCCAAGGCAAAGAAGGGGTCCCAAATCTTTTGTGTGACGAATGGTAAAGTGTTACATAATTTAATTGTCGTGATTTTCCGAATAATTCTTTCTGTTCATAGGAGCATCTTTTTGAGCCTAGGAACCTGTCAACAAAGGTGCTTCTCTTCTTACCATTCGCTTGCCTGCGTAATTCAAATATCCATGAAAAGGTCCAGAAGGCTATGAGCGTTGCTGGGCGCGCTTTGTTCTCGCGACACACATAAATCAAGTGCACCTGTGAGCCCTGAAAGGCCGCACAAAAAACAAGATGCTGGTTTTCGAAAATTAGTTCTGAGCGCACGTTGTCGTCGTCAGCTGGACATTTTCTCCAATCAAATTGGGATTCGTTCGTTGTCAAGGTTAGTGCATCCGTTGAGACAAAGAAGGAACGGCATGTGTTGCCAGAAACTAGGCTAACTAGCGATCGGTGAATGGGTGCTTTGCTGAGAGCGCTGTGTCATGACAGAGATACTACGAGGTGCTAAAATGGGTTTCAAAGTATTTCGAAAAGTGCACATTTCGAGCGGTCAAATCACCTTTTTGCCACCAATTCTTGTGGATTATGACAGGAAAATTAGGAATTGTTTTTCCAAGATCAATTTTCTTGTTAAATCGAAAGTTTGTAGTAATAAATGAGGTAAAACACTGTCTTCAACAGCGTACTATTTCATCATTTTTCAAAAAAGGAGGAAAAACCTCGACTGGGACCTTATGGAATAGACACACTGAAAACATCCACTGCTCAAATTTACCTGTAGATCGCTTTTCTTAGTTCTATCTCTAATTATTGGATATGGTGTCTTGAGATCGAGCAGCTTCTGTAGCCAGTTCTATTGGTGCAGTTCTTTAGTAGCTTTTTGGTTGTTTTGTGGCTTGCTTAGAGCGCCTGAGATAAATATAAAAATAGAGATACCTAAACAGAAAGAGCATTCATTTGAAGAGTAAGCATACCACCTGATTTTGTCGATATATGCAATCGAACACACTGAGAATAAACTATTGACAGAATGAACTCAAAAGATTTGTAATGCAAAAAGTTCAAAGAATTTTACATACTTATGTAATCCTATTGCAAAAATTATTCTAAACTGCGTAATCCTCATGTTCAAATCAGCATACGTTCGGCAGATTCTCAAAGTTAATGTAATGTTCAAGCAAAAAAAAAGCGAAATGAAAAAAGTCTGCACCACCACTCCAGATTCTTTACTGCAGATGTTCATACTCCAAGGTGAAGTATGACTAGTAACAGAGGAGTTCGTATCTCTCACTCTTGCCGAAAATAGGGCCAGCGGCTCAGTTCAGGCACTCTAAAATTAGACGCTCAAGCTACGTGAACCAAGCATCGAAAAATAAAGAAACTTCTATCAGAACTCGCAATGAGATGATCGGAGATACTTACGAAAGGCAAAGCATTGTGAATTGATAATTCATAGTGTTCAAAAATCGGACTTATTATAAGCAAAATCATTCAAAACCTCAGTCCGTGGGTTCAAATGGGGTCATGATTACTACCAGGATGCTTTATGACCTTTGATCTAACAAACTTATGTTGATTTGTAATCCTTTCAAGCGTCGGAAAGACCTCAACGCATGTTTTTATCTTAGCCAAACCATTGAATTCTTACCTTAAAAATTTCCCAGAGCTCCCCTCCCAGAAGCGCTTTGCAGATACCGAAAGCAATGCTCTATAAGATAGTGTACATCTCATATGGAAACGCCACTTCGACCAAGTAACCTTCCCTTGTAAGAAAAACCTAATCTCGGATCCACAAAAACGATATTCCCTTTGCTTTTTGTCCCAAGAACGATATCCAGCCTGCTTATGAGCCACCTGTGCCGACCCTGATTAGAAAAGATCCATTTATTGAACTTCGTGGTCATGTGCACATTTTGAAGTTGCCTGCGAGACATGTGAATATATATTTTTCCGAACCGCTGGAGCGTGTAATGGTTTTGGGTGATATCATAGTAATCATATCGTCCTCCATCATACAGCCTGAGAGCGACTGTTTGGAGCAAGTCATGTACAGTGTAGCAGAACATACATTTTCTTTATCTTGCATGGATTATAACCCACTGACAAGACGTACAATAAACGAAAAGCACTAGACCAAGATGTTTTTCAGATAAATGGTGACGGAAAAATGATGAATTTCACACCATATTTTTCTAAAAAGTTTGGCATATCTAGACCAGTCCCTTCAAAAGATCGTGAGCTGAACTTTAGCAGGAAAGCTTAATTGTGCAAGTCCCGAAATAAAAGATCAAAAATCACATCCATAGCCCAGCCCAAAAAGCCAGAGTAACAGGTACAATAAATAAATCATTCTGAACAGAGAGACGATTTGAGTAATTATGGGTCCCTCAGAAAATTCTCCGACCACAATGGGTAGCTTGCAAAGCAAGGGGTGCTCGTTTTTTTAACATGGCCGTGTGGAGGCTTTTTCGATCGCAGAGAGGGACTGTAGCAGAGTTTTTTCCTCAGCTGCCTCCCATGAAATGATGCCCTTGTGAGAATGTGCACGGCTCTGTTCCCAGTCATTAATTCAAATCGGGTAGCTCTCCCGTCTCCGACGCACGCACGTCAGCTCCGGACGCAGCTCGACAGCAAGCGAATGTCGTGCGATCTACCCGCTCGTGGCGTTATTCGAATGGCCCGCTGATTCATACCCGCCCCATGACGGTGCCGTGGCGGGGATTCAACGGCGGGGTGGGGGGCTGCTTCATCTCGAATAGCGGCTAGGTGCGCGCGGCCTGCTCTGCGCAAAGTGCACCTATTCAAATGGGGCGTTCGAATGATTTATCGCATCTGTCGACGCATCTAACTCGGCAATCGCATATAGACATCATGCTTAACTCGAGTTATTCGGTCTAGCTGAAGGAGTTGCGATTCCAGCGCTGTATATTCGATAAGCGCTACAGAGAACAAGAGCACAATGGACACTAGTCTAAGACTACCATCCTTGGGCGAAATACTGTTGGAGAGCCTGTAAATTCAGGGAATTTCTGCCCTTATCTGATAAAATCACACTTTTATTTTCCAAGACATGGCCACGTATTAGGTCGAAATATGTTTGGTTACCCTTTTTCGAATTACATGGAAGGTTTAGCTTTTTTATTTTACATGTAGTTTTCGAAATTTTCAACACTCGTTTGATCATTTCTGTCAATTTGCGATAATGAATAGCTTAACCTTGAAGTACTCACGTAATAGCACTAGTGCTCCTAAAAATCTGTTATTGATTTTAAAAGAGGAAATTAACGAGAAAACTCTCAAAAGAAAAAGAATTGGAGTTTGCTCGTTGGTGCAACGGAAGCTTGGGGATGTAAAAGTAATAGCCAGATTAGGAAGCAAACGCTATACTAAGGTAAATGTCAGTGTGATAATGAGCTCATGAAAAGGAACGGCGAATATAAGGCAATGTGAAAGTTTGAAAGTTTGGGGCAACGATTCGCTTCTCAAGCTAAGCCATCTCGTGTAGTATAGAATATGCTTATTGAACAGCATAAATTGCTTAACTTTGGACTCTCAATGCCTTAAACAGAATTTTCATTTTTTACAATTCTTGAAATAGCAATAATACCAATGATCTCAAAACGTGATTTTTCTTTGAGCAGATATTAATACTATCAGCTTGTGATGTGAATCTACGCACTGTGCGATTGTAAACGTTTGTAGAAGCCGGTAATTTACAAATTTGCTCTGCAACCTTCTTTCAGAGAGGCTTGCCATTAACTGATCCACACTTTATGAATAGCGCTCACACCTGCAGTGGACATTTACGGTAACTACCGTAACTTAATCCCACAGGGAAAGTAACCCCATGTGCGCATTCGGCGTGATTTTTCGATGTGGCCATAATTGCGTAGTAGATCAGTGAGCGGTCGAAATTCACATTCACCGCATGTGCTGAAAATGGCCATCTGCGTTGTTGAAATCCGCAAATGTGCATCTGTCGGTCGGGCGGCGGTGGCAGACGATCGAGTCGTCCTCGAATTCGCGAAATATTGATTCAACGATCTATAACCACCCGCACTCAGATGGTGCACACAAAAACGACGACGAAGGTATCACGAGGAACAATCTGCGTTCGCTTTTTCCACTCGATCTGCCGTCGTCGCCGCTCCCACACGGCGCTGCCAGCGACTCGCTGCTAACAAAGGTCGCGACGGTTTACTATGGTGTCCATTTGCGAACAACGTCTCTTCTTATGAGATGCATCAGCCACGGTCGATTGGCCCTGCGACTGACTTGTATCACCACCAGCACGTCTTCCCTCTAGGAGGGTGCTCGAGTATCTCAGATCTTGTCAAAAGTGTAGCCGGAAACGACCTCTGCAGCCAAATTTTACCAGCATTTCTACCTAAAGAGAAGCGCACCTTAGCAAAGACACAAAATCGTATTACTTAACAATTACCACCAGGATGCACAGAAGCTTTCAATCTTTCCTTCCACTTAGTCTTACACGAAATCGACCTACATTATAGCCGTGCTTTTCATTGCATAACATAACGAATTGTTTCTGAGATACCAAAGGTTACCGCAATATCCAATCTCAGGAAAAGTCAAGCTTATCAGAACTTGAGTCTGTGGAAGACAGTACCTGGCGCAGTATATCTACTTCACATGAATCTTTTGATCTCTTTCACTTTAACGGAATTTGCAAGCAAAATTTGCCTGTTTTCAAAAAATAGAATCTCATCACCGAAGTTTGCACATGTAGTACGAGTAGATTAAAAGTTGCAAGAACTAATCAACTGTTTAGAATTCGGTATCGAGCACATGTATTTTCTGCAAGTAGCTTCTGCATGTTTATACTACTCTGCATCTAGGATTCTGGCAATGACGCCACTAGCATTTTTTGGAGAAAACAAGCAAATGTTGCTTATTGTGGGGAAGCTTACAGTCCACATTGTATAATATATACGCTATTCATTTCAAGCTTGTTATTAGTAAACAATCTGGTAGTCAACAGACACAAGCTATTTTCTTCAATGCTTCCGTTCGAAAAGATCTCTGCTATCTTAGCCCTTAGCTCAACCCGCTTATTTTAATGCTTAGTTCACTTACGGTCGAGTGGACAGTGTCTCTAATATACCAGTGGCATGGCGGCGAAGAGATCTCATCGAGCCACGTTTGAATATTGCGCAATAATTGGAAAGAAAATCTTGCATACTTTGGGAAGATTAATAGTGGGGCATTCGTTTTGGTGTCTATTTTGGGGTACCCCTCATATACTAGAGTGAGGCGTGCAATACAATTTTAAAATGCGGGTAGATCTTCAACTACGCTATTCTTGATTTTTAGTCATTGCTTGTTTCTACAAGTAGTTACATATTCAGGTAAATTTGTATGAAAAGGAAGTTTTGTAGCAGAAGAGCAAAGTATGGAGGTTGCTGCAGCTAGTTCAAGCAGATTCTGAAGGTCGGAATCATTTTTGCTTTCTCATCTTGATTTACAGAAAAGCTGGGATGAGTGTCTAAAGACAAGACCTACTCTTTTCTACCCCTTCGATCATGAGTATCGCAAATGATGCTTCACAGGAACAAGGTACTGGGTATAACCCCCTTTGACATATACAGCTTGAAGACTGAATATCCATTTCAATTATAGATTGGATATCGTTATGCAAGAAAGCTCATTCAAGTATGTTTCGAAAGCCTACGACGGAGCAGAGGTCTAAGCAGCTCTAGTCTTGCATCTAACTCCCAATCCTGCAGAGGTAAGCATAGACGTAATTTTTCTCTGGACCGCCCTATGCTACTTGGTAGTTTACCCTGGAATTCGAGACAGTAAGATAGATACAACCTAGCACCATTTCTCAGCAAGCAAACAATAATAGTCCATTTTGTCTTGCAAAAGCGACAAAGTTTTGAGCCTTCTGCGAGCCAAGCGAGTGTTTCTTCAGCGCGAGAAAAAGCCTCGCAGACGGTTTGAATACGTGGCCAGAGAGTGCGCTCGGACGCCATTCAAACGGTCCGCGTCCGTCGACGCTTCTACAGCGGCCGGCCGAGACGGAAAAAATGAGCAAAAGTTCAGGTACCGTAATCGCGAGTCGTGGGTAGTGTGGCGGGAACTCTTTGCACTTCCGTCTGCACGCTCGGGCGTTCGCCTGGTGTCTCACCGACTGTCTGCTGAAAAACGCACCAGCAGCGCATAAAAGGCGGCCGAGTCCGGCCTTCGATGCCATTTCTTCCCTCTCCATCCAAGCCTCATTCGCCTCTTTTATCGTCCTTGCACGATGAGCGAACACTGAGAGAGGATGACGGGTGGCCCTACAGGAAAGGCGAACACCTGCCCCAAATTCTGGCCACGAACACGGTAGCGTGTGCGTTTTTTTCGTTCGAGTCTTTGTTTCGCCGCTTTCAAATTGCCAACCAGCAAACGCAATCTTCAGTGCTTCCGCCTATCCCTATTCTTAGCTGCTAGCCCTATTCCACACACACGCAGAAATTGATGTGCTGTTGATGTGCTCTAGGATGGGATTCGTAGGTGAGTCAATACGTTGATGACTGGGATATTCTTCACTATTTTTCAGCTTTATTCTTCTGATTTTCTATGATTTTAGGAAAGCGAATTTTGCTTACTTTCAGCATTTATCCAGAGATGTCACTAAATTCAAATTTTCAGAGCCTCATAAGCCATAAATCACATTCTCACAATCACCGCTCGCAACTTATTTCGCTGTAAGCACATCTGCACTACATCTGGCTCTCTAGGTTTTATTTAGGAACAAGAGTATTCAACATGTAAGGGCTCGGGGGTACTGTAGGTTTGAAATTACGTATTAGGCAACACTGGGAATGTAACAAAGTCTGACGTAAGAGGCAATGTCTAGGTAAATGTTAACCTAAGTGACGTCAGTGGAGGTGACGTAAAACATGTCTCTATGGTAAAATTCAATAAAGTTTCTAAACCCTAGCCAAATTCACATCTTTTGTTTAGACTTTTCTTTGAAAAACCCGCTAATGCTAAAACAAATCTTGGAAGTAGTTTTAACAACAGCGCTAAGCTAACGCTGGAGAAAGCTAATTTCCAGTAACCACAAAGTAGACCAAGCCTTCGTCATTGAGCTGCGTAATTCCAAAGCTTTGATATCCTGGCCTTGTCTGGGTCTCCGCTGAAAACTTCACCTTTCATCATCGTTTTTGGCCAGTCGCCATGGCAGTCATCGAATCGGACATTTACGAGTAACGACCCGGACAGTGGTGGGGCGAGTCGTGTCGATGCCGACGATGACTCGCGGGCGAGGGCCCGGGTTTCCATGGCCGTCGGCGGGGGAAGCAGGCCGAGGGCCAGAGGCGGGGCCGGCCGTCTGCCCCCATCTCGCTCGCATCTCCCACATGCGAAGATCGATCGATCGTCATGGAAATTCAAACGAGCGTGTTCGTCCTTAGTGGCGCTGAGTTATCTGGCTGTAGATCTGTGCTGTGCTGGCGATGATGGTCGAGCCTAGCCGGCTGGTGCTGGCCGACTGCTGGCCGTCGTCGCTCGGAACGGGGCACACGAACGACCGCTCGTTGTCCCCCATGTTCGCCTCATTTCACTCGTTCTGAGATTAACAGCACGACACAACTCTTGGCTCTCTTTCACACTTACAATTCCTCTTTGAACTGTTGCTCCAAAGTTGCTTGCTCCGTTGATCTTGTGCGCAGCCAATCACCCGAGTCCGTCAAGGGGACGATACGGAACTGTTCTGATTTCGAATCGTCACTCTTGATGCTCTCGTGTGCCATCGCTCGTCTCTCTGATCGCACTCTATTGACTTTCTCGAAAATATGTGATTCATCGCCTGCTAACTCCTCACAACAACAACGACTGGTCATCCCATGTGTTAGTCATTGCATCTACACACAAGGTCAAACATCAGCTTATGATTTTCTACGCTTGCAAATCTTGATAATTTATGGTTTCGTAGCAGAAAAATTCATACATCATCAGCAAAAAAGCGTTTTTATCTTGATCATCACATGAATTTTCGCGGGAACCCTAACAGCCTTTCTGTTCAGATGGTTTCGTCTCGATCTCACATTACCGAGGCTTAGAACTAGTTGCTCCTGATAACTCTCCAAAATCACATTGTACGATCAACGAAATAGAAATCGAAACTGCCATCCAAGGCAAGCAACACGAACATTTTCGGTCATGACTCCTCTGAATATTTGTTCTCCATAATCACCCCGCTCGCTCGAAACAAAATACTATGAAAATCAGTGAGAGAAGGATGCACGATAACCATTAGAGGTGTCCGTGTGCTATGTGTGTGTGGTGTGCGGCTGTGTGAGAAATTTTATGGGATTTCTTTTCCGCCAATGGAGAATCGATGCGAACGTCTTAATATCTGGGGTATGTAGTTGAAAAAAGATTTCCTCTGCTTTTTTCGCTTGCTTCAATATTGCAACTTCTATACATTCACTTGTTTTTGTTTTTCGAAGATTCCCGCCCGAATACAGACTCGGATTTGGTCCTTGCCTTCTTTATGCTGTTGGGTGCTGACGCCACAAAAATTGCTTGTTATCCATTTTTTCAATAGAAGAGAATTTTGCAACCTAAAATGCAACTTATTTTGCAACAAATTTCGATCGAGGGACAGTGGGAAAACTTGAGACAATCACTGTCTCGGAGTTTCTATGATCAAGGAAAAGTTCCGTGCACTGTCCCCTACGCAAAGATAACATTGATGCTTATTTTAGTGTCTAATGTATAGTTTGTAACTGACATCCCCAGTTGGTACCCGTCGCTATATGAAACTTTTGCTACCTCTGATCAAGCAGAAGAAGCTTGGGCCAATTCTCAGGTTTTAGGGAGAAAATTTCAAGCTCCATATTGTCTCAAGGGTCAAAATTTCGCGTACATTTCAAGCTGCTTGATTTCCATTTGAAACATGGAACATGCTCCCCTGCTGTGGGTATTTGAATGGAACATATATGGGTTTATATTATATTTTCATATAATTTTTCATAATACGTCAACTAAGAGTGGATCAGAATATCTGCTCAAGCTAGGAAGGTTAGGAACATTAGTTGAAATTGTGATCAACTGAATACTGGAGGTTGTGTTGGAAAGGTATAGTTCAAACAAACCGTTCGGGCGAATTTCATCGATTTGACGTTAAGTCTAAGCCGTACAGTGAGAACTTGAAAAATTGTTCAAATTCATTTTCTTAGCATTTGCTCTAGAACTTGCATATTCGTGATACTTTCTGGGGAAGTGTTGCACAGGTTTTTTTGCAAACTGGTGCTTCTTGAAACTTACTGGCTACTGCTCATAGATGAAGAAGCAGGAAATCAAAGACACTCATTAGGACTGCAGTTTTTGAACATGTCTTGTGCTGATGTAAGAGAGGAAAAACAAGAAAATCATTCTTGTTTATCCACCCAAATTCTTGCTTTTTTTGAAGGCTTATTCATGTTGTGGGAGTGATCGATGCGTCCTTAATGTATGATACAACAAAGACGCATTCGTCAGCGGCCAGCAGATCGGCGCTGAGTGAGCTGCTCCCGATTGCGCACACTGACCACGATGGGCATCGGTTTTGTGCGGGGCTCGACCCCAGAAATCAAAGAAAAATTTTCAGTCCAGCTTTTCCTGGCGAATTCCAAGTCGTTCGCCACTCATCGTCGTTTGCATATCGACGTGCACACACGCAACAACGGTGTGCCACGTGCGCTCGCGTCATTCCAACGTCATCTCCACTTATCTACCGTATGTGGGCAGAAGGAAGGCATACGTAAGCTACCTTTCCAGAGTTTATGGCTTGCTGAGGCTGGACTCAGTTCCAGGGCGTAGGATACTCCTCAGAATAATGTGACCCAAAACAGCGTCCATAATGTGCACATGAATGGAACCTAGTCAAAGCCCTGTAGCAGAAGGTGTTCGAAGCAGGGCTCACGTAGGATACACTAAACAACAAATGAGCTGGTTGACGGTGCTAATGCATATCTTGCCCCTGCGGTGAAAAAGCACTGTGCGTTTACCAAAATGCCACAAATTGCCACAAAAAACCACTCCGACTGCTTACTCATAGATATGCATTGGAGGCAACATTCACCTAAAATTTAGGCTCTTATGCTTTTGTCATTCTGGGACCTTTGTGTGGCCCTGTTACAGCTACAAAGTGCAAAATTCGGAAAATCTCCAAAAAGCGACCATTGTAATCTTTTCAAAGGCGTGAGCGACTTTCAATCTTCTGATAGGTGGAGCTTGATAGAGTGGGTGTGGCTACCACTTTTGCGGGTTCCTGCTCCATTTTCACCATTCGAACCCACAATGAAGCACCGGACCAGCGCAGATGCCCCTCTCTTGGTGCCTGCTTTTAGGCTGGGTACTGATGAGGTAGCTAAGATCTTGCCTGGACGCTACCTGCGCTACTTGTAATGCGAGACCCGTACTTCGCGGAGGTGGCGCTTATTAGGGTTTTCGTTCCTTTACCCTCTCAAGGCTCTGTTTACGCGCAAATGTTGTGGACTGCGCAAGTACACTATAGGAACCGTAAAATTCATTTCCTCACAACTACAATTAAGTCGATCTCAAATTATCCAAAGCGTAGAGGTCAAGTGAACACAGTCTGTTCTGAAGGGAATCGGAAAAATTCACTATAGCTAGCACATTCGCAACGCAGCTGCCTGCGCTCATAATTAGAGCTGCAGGGTTTGCCCATTAAGAGTATCGCGAATATACGAAGAAAGTGTAGAGGTGCTAGTAGTGTAGCTTGGAATGGTGGTGATTCATAAGCATTAGTGGCATTACGAAGTTATACTTTGTGACACTTTCAAATGCAGTTCAAGACCACCACTGCTATCTGGTCATTCTTTGTAACAGTTTCTATGCGGCTTTTCATGTATTAGGTTGTCCCAAAAGTTTTGTCCGTCTTTTGTCTTGCCACAGAACTCTTACAACACTGGCTAACAAAAAAATGAGATATTATTTAACTTGTATTCTTATATTTTCTGAGAGCTGTATTTTCTGTCTGCCATGCTGTCTCAGCGATGTTCGCTAGGGCTCCCTGAGCAGCTCAGCGTGGCACCAAAACATTCACTAATTTTGGAAAAATTTTATTATACGAGGTTTTATAGTTATTTGAAAAAGCGGGCAATATTTTCGGGTACACGCAGATATGGAAGCGATAGAAAAGTTACCCAAAATATGAAAATCGTGTGCAAGGTCGTGAGAAATTTGAAAGGTGCGCTGACATCTGGAGCAATCAGTATTGTAAACTGTTTCAAGCTGAGCGAAAAGTTCGTAGTAATTCAGTTGTAATATGATAATATTTGAGAAAAATGCTGAAAAATTTAGTTGACTGTTTTGTAGGCTAGATTCTGCGCTCGATGTTCCCCTTTTATATAAATGCAAATGCAGGTTCTTTGAGAAAGCACAAAGCCAAATTTCTGTAGGTAATGTAAACGAGCTTCTTGCGGTGTCTGGGCGAATTTGATACGCAGTTAAGCTAATGCAATAACATGACACCTAATCATAATCATTTCTAATTTGAAAGGTCTCCATAACACGAATGCCGGAAACCATACGGCTGTATTGATGGCTGATTACCCTATTTTCCGGAGTATAAGGCGCATTTTTGTGCACCGCGCGCGAGCAGTTTTGCGACGACGCGGGCGATGTGCGATGCCGCAAAAGTAGCGGCACCAACTTTTCGTAACTGTTTTAAGCATTCGTCCTCTGTTAAATCTTTTGTGAACGTAAGTTCTCAGAAAAATCAGTCTGCTCTATCATCAATTCATCATATTCGGCTAAACAAAATTTTTACCCTAGAACACCCGTACTGTTATCATCTAACGCTTAACCAATATCTGTCACTGAGTTCGTTTACGTCTACATAGTCAAAATGTCGCTGAAATTTTCCGAAACTTGGAAGCACTGACATCCTGACTATGAAACGCCCATATAGCAAACTCCAGGTAAAGTATAGATAAGTAGACCTTTGAAGTATAGCTTAATCTAAGCCAAACTTAGGGCGCAAATTTCGCGTTAACGTTCGCGCGGCAGGTGCGCCTTATACTCCGGAAATTAGGGTATATCATCCTCCAGTTTAGAAATATCCTCGCAAATTTTTTGAAGAACTTTGAAATTCGGTAATTTTGAACGAATCCATCAGAAATAAATATAGTGAGTATGAAGAATGGAAGGATTCGATTCGGCAAAGTTTTCGGGGCTTTCCTTCTCGCAGCAAAACCATCCTTTCCTGGCGAACTGCTTGTGCACATCTGGCATGGTCCTTTGTCAAAATTGGGTCAGACACAGAGAAAAGACAAAGAAGTGCTGCTTTTTGAACCAAGAAAAAGCAGTTGAGCCTTTTCTGAGTGAATAACTTCATGAGAAAGTATGCATGAGAATCATAGTCTTCATCAGTAAGTCAGTATGTACTTCGTATTGAGCATCATCGTTCCAAAAGCGAAATTTCTCAGAGGTGATAGTTCCAGTAATGAGGGTATCGCTCCAGTTTGAAAGGGAACCAGGTACAGGTACGTTATTCCCTTTTATCTTTAAATCGAAAGCATCAAGTTCTTGGCATTTTGAATCCTCCGTTAAAAACAAGCGACATCATTGAAATTTGTACTCCGAAAAATAATGGAAATGTTTGGTGCTCGAAAGAGCAAGTGATTGCTAGATAAAGAAACCATGTATTTATTTAAATTTTCTTTGCTTCGGAAATAATGCTCGCGCATTTCAAGTGAAAAAAAATTCTCAAAACGTCACAATGACGTGTAGAGCCTACCAT